TGAGTTTTTCCTGTTTAAATATTTGAGGTAAAAAGCTATCAAGAATTTGTTGAGCTTGAATGGTGGCCAAATCTCTTTCTAAGATTATAAAGGCCTAGGGTTCTATAAAAATGTGAGGTCAAAGGAACCAGAACTCTAACGGGTGTTGGGCATTCCAGGCTTTCCATTACTGTAACAAAATACCTGAGGCTGGGTGTTTTATAAAAACGCCAATCACCAAAGATATAAGTGACCAGTCCAAGAACTAATGATATAATGATTGGTCCTGTTTCAAGCAGGCTGAAAGGCAAGAAACAGAATCAGTTGCCTAGAAGTTCTGCTTGCTCTGACCTTAACACCAGCCTTGGCTCATGTCAATAGTAGGGAAGAAGGAGGAGGAAGATGAGAGAGGGGAGAGGAAGATATTTCCAGCAACCATGAAGGGTCCTTTAATTCAGTCTGTACATCCAGCAGCTATTAAACCTACAGCTGGAATTACCATGAAGAGCCCAAGTCAGCAGCTGCCTCCATGGCTTCAGCCTAACCCACATCCTTCCCATTCCAGCCAGAGCCTGGTGATCCCAGGTGCCCAGAGAGTCCCATCCCACCTTCTCTTTCCAAACCAACTGCCAAGTAAAGTTTCCTCAGCTGAGGTACAAGGTCCTTCCTCACGTCTCTCACAAGGAGGCATCCAAGCGGCTGATGAGTTACCCTCAAGATGGTGGTCTGAGAAGTTGTGGGCTGTCGCTCCCGTCCCTCACTTCCCAAAGCCCCGGTCCCTCTCTCAGCCCTGTTTAATCAGGCTGAAGACATTCTCTCCCTCCCTATCCCCAGCCTTTTCCTCTCTTGCTCCTCATTGAGAAAGAGCATTTTAACCAAAACAACAACAAAGCCTCAGCAGGACATTGTTAGTGAGCACATCCCCTTTGTCGAAGGTACCCCAACACTCCTCAAGACACTTTTGTGCCATCTGCACGGATTGTATTTCAAGAAATGCGTAAGTGTCAGGGATAGCCCCTTAGATGTGTGCATTTGTACACTTGTGCAACTTTCACAGCTTTAAGCGTGAGCCAAAGACACTAAAGACCTACTTTAAATGCTACTTGTGAGCATCTAAGGAAAGCTGCAGGTAGAACTGAGGTTCTTCTGTGTTCTGAGTTGTGCCAATTGGAGCTAACTGCTGTGCTGCACTGAAGAGAAGAAAAAAACAAAACCTGCGGGTCCATCAGCGTCCCAGCCACCAGCACGCTCCTCTAGCAGGGGCATGGGCAGCCAGTGGAGGCTACAGTGAGACCTTTGCACTGTGAACCTGCTGTCCCCAAGGTACCACGTCTAGAAAATACCTTCCACAATGGGAGCCCACGTGGCGTTCTGGATCAGTAATCGATTTAACTCTCATCTAATGCCTTTTTGCCGGACTGTTTACCAAGCCCAGATATCCTTGGATCCACACACACCACATCGGAATATTCCACTGCAGTTTTACTTCTCTTGTGGGGTGGGGAGAATGAAAGAGAAAGAATGTTCTTCCCTGCCCTTCAGGACAACGGTGCTCGGACACAGAAGAACCAGCAGAGGCATATCCTCTGCAGAACCCCTGTGTGCCCACTGCCCCACTTCATGAGCAGACTGTTGACCAAGTTCAACTGCCTGTGGAAGGATCGATATCAAGCAGTGACCGAAGGAAAACAGTGTTGGACTAGGTTCTGAACCAAAGGAGCATTTAGAAATGCGCATCTATGTATGATATCATAGGAAAACATCAAACTGCCTCTGGCCAGTTTTCTTCTCCCCTCCCTCTTCCCATTTCTTCCTCTAATCCTTATCTCCTCTCACGTTAGATATAATGAACTTTCCCAAAATCATTCTGGAGAGATTCATTATGAACAAAGAGAGGTGTTGCGTCCTAATCTTGCTGTCCACCCCCTTCCAGCCCAGGTGAGACTGGGCAACATTTAAAAGGCGGAAAGTGTTTGAGATAGAATCTCATTAGGTAAGCCAGGCTGGCCTCAGACTCACGATCTTCCTGCCTCAATGTCCCAAGTGCTATGGTTGCAGGAGTGTGCGGCCACACCCAGGAAGCTCTTAGAAGGCAATACCAGAATAGTTGCCGGACGTGTGTGTTTTAACCTGTCCAGCAATGAATAGATTGTTTTAAGTTCATGAGAAATTCAAATAGATTCGGGCAGAGTGTGGGTAGGAAAAGACTAGAGAGAACTCTCTGGGGCAGAAACTCCAAGAGAAAGGAGAGCAGGAGAGCTCCGTGTGGCTTGTTTTTTTTGTTTGTTTGTTTTGTTTTTTTGTTTTGTTTTGTTTTTGTTTTTTTGTTTTTTGTTTTGTTTTGTTTTGTTTTTTTGTAGCCAGAAGGAAGAAAGGAAGGTGGGTCTGAGATCGGAGATAGGAGTGATACTAGAGGGTTCTCGGGGGAGAATGGGTGGAAGGTACCTCTGGGGTTGTGGCCAGGACAGCGGTGGGGTATCAGCACTCTAGGGAGGATGCTCAGCTCCTCAGTCATGGAAGGCACCTCAGGAAGCACTGAGTTAAGGCATTGAGCTGTGCTTTGGAAGGGAGAGAGCTGTCTCAAGACACCAGGAACACGCTCAGGCTCCCAGCGGTTCCTGGCTGTCTCTCTGCTTTTCTGGTGGGCTCTCCCCAAAGCCACAGCATCTGGAGCCAGCAGGCTCTGGTGTCTTGAGATCTTGCAGATGAGAAGTTAACAGACCCCAATGGCCGCCCCAAAACTTTAGTTTTGTTCGGTTTTGGTTTGGTGGTAGTTGTTTGTTTGTTATTGTTTTGTTTTGTTTCGTTTTGTGGAGACAGAGTCTCTCTAAGTATCCCTGGCTGTCCTGGAACTCACTCTGTAGACCAGGCTGACCTCAAACTCACAGAGATGCACCTGCCTCTGCCTCCCCAGCGCTGGAATTAGAGGTATGAGTCACCACACCTGGCAACTTTGGAGTTTTGACATTGTTCTCAGAATTACACCTAGCCTGAGGAGTAGAGCAGGAAGAGGGAACTGGGAAGGGATCCTGGAAACCCAACAAGTGCCGAGAGATGGGTAGGCAGAGCAGGGCACTCCGTGCATCTGGGTCAAGGCTTTCCATACATCACCCTGCACGATAATTCCTAAAGCACGCAGGTCACCCCGCTTCACAGTGAGAAGTCCGAAGCTCTGACAGGATGACACATCTAAGGTAACACAGGGACAAAACCAGGATTCAAACTCAGGTTTGGTTGCCTTGGAAACGCATATCCGTTGTATTGGCTGACTCAGGGCTGCTGTTTTGTGACCTGCACTTGAGGTGTGGCTTTACCGGGCTGGAGCAGAGGCCAGGGGGTAAGGGAGAGTGCAGGGGAAAGCGGCCCTGTCCAAAAGATCTGAGACTTGCTCTCTCCCGTCACCCAGCCTGATAACAGCCAGAGAAAGCGGGCTGCATGCCTGGGTGCCGGAAGGGGCAGCTCCAGTATGCACTACACGACGATTGTGATGACCGGCTTCATGAATGAATTCAGCAAACACAGGCAGAAGTTGGCCGCAGCGGCCAGCGCTCCGCTCGAGCTGCCAACAGTCCAGACCCCCGTTCTCTGAGCCTTGGTTTCCCACTTGCAAACTAGGAATAATGACTCCATTTAGGGTTTTGTTTGGTTTTCTGTTGTTTTGTTGGGTTTTCAGGGTTGTTTGAGGATTGGGGGGGGGGCGGGGAGAAGGGGGTGTTGTTTGATTTTTGCAGTGCTGGGACCTAGAGCCTGATAGATGGAAGGCAAGCGCTCTCTCTACCAGTGAGCTACAGCCCAGCATTCCACATAGGGATTTTGAGCTGGTTAGATGGCGCATGCGCGCCAGGTGTTAACACAATGCTGGCAAACAGAGGAAACACTCAACCCCCTTTAGGTCATCCTTATCATTTTTATCACTATCATTTATCATTGTTATTACGGCCCATTATTATTATTGTGGCCCATTTGCATAACGAACACCAGAAAAAAAATAGAATGGTTCCTTTCATTCCCAAAGCTGGCCCCACACCAGCGGCAGGGTGACTAGAAGGGTTCTTTTTCCCCTTGTTTTACCAGCGGGGGGGGGGGGGGGAGGTAAAGAGAGATTTGCCTGAATCTCAAAGTTCTCCTAGTGAACCTGGGCCCACGGGATCCCCACCCCCACCCTTGGGATTAGCCCCGGGCCCTGGAGAGGCCCCCTACAGAGAAGGAGCTCGGTGGTCTGGCACGTGTCCAGCGGGTGGAGCCCTGGACGGTCCTGGGCCGCCTGGCGGAGGGCCGATAAGGAGAATCCGCACATCAGCGGGTGTGCAGGGGAGACCCTCTGGGAGCAGGAAGAGGTTTTTTCCCCCCCTAGTTCTTTGTTCACAGCGGTGCCCGCGACGTTATTGTATTTCTGCCATAGTGGAACGAGCTACAAAACTGAAGTCGAAGAAGATTGGGGAAGAAAAGGACTTTTCGTTTCAGTGTGAGATTCTGCTCTGGACGTTTGTCTGCTAACACTTTAAAAAGGCTGTGGGTCCATCCTGGGCTCATCACCCTACAAGAACAGCAATTAGGGAAGCATTTGTGGTTTTGTTCTTTCCTGCACAGGCAACAGGTAGCTAGTTTCCAGAAGTAACTTGTGCTCACCGTGCCCTCTCCCACTGCCCTTAAGCCTGGCTGTCCTTATACCAGGGCACCAGTGTCAACTCCAAGACTCTTCCATCACAAGAGCAGCCACGGCGCTAACAACCTGCACCACTGTGGTTGGCTGTTTAAATGGCACTATGGGGATCCTTTTTGGTTACAAATCTTTCCAAAAACATTTCAAGGTGGGGCGTAGGAAAAGTGAATTTGAGTTTGGTTGTCACTAAGTAAAGACCCGGGGATGCCCTGGAGACATGCCAAAGCCATTGGCACCGTGTCAAGAGAAGAGACTTGGGGCATTGAAACCAGCCATCCCCTCCACCCCTCCACCCCCCACCCCGCCCCGCCCCCGCCCTGTGTTGTTCTGGCTTTGGTGGCTTAAGTGGGAGGAGAAAGCCAGTGCAGTTCACAGACCTGAAGAGCAGACGTGGGTATAAAAGGGTGAGGTCCCTCTCCTGCGGTACCTCTCCCTGCTGAGAGAGCCCGGCCACTCTTTATCAGGCACTGCCTTCTGCCGCCAGGAAACCAGCTGGAGGGTAAGCACCCCTCATTTCTGCTCATTCTAGTTATTCCTTGTTGAAGCTTGTCTTAGTCCTCTTTAATCTTGTCCCCTTTTCTTTTTAAAGACAGAACACAGGGTTGAACTTAGATGTGTCTAACTCCTGAGACTATTCTATATTCTTCCTATTTATAATAACAATAATAATAATAATAATAGATATTTTAGTGATGCGAGTTAATGGACTTGACTGCAACATTGATGCACAGACTGTATCTCGACCACGCTTGCTTTTCTTTTCTGCTCCCTTGCCCACTCTTACCCTCCTGCCTTCCCATCTCCGACTCTGCTCTCTTTTAAGTGGTGAAATGTGTCTCTAACTGTTGGAACAGAATAGTTGGAGTTCTGGTAGACTAGAAGGCTATTCACCCAAGCCACAGTCCTCTTCCCAGAAGCTTAAAAGTAATGCCTGTGTTATGATTCCTGGAGAGGGTGGAAGCTGTGCCGGGCTGATGTGGAAGAGAGCTCCCACAGGGTGCCCACTCTGTATACTGAATGGCCCTGACTAATCGACACGGTGAAAAGTTTCATCAGGCTGTGCTCTAAAAAAAAAAAACTAAGCAAAACTGGCGACTGCATTTTAATGACTCACAAGAAAACGTGGGGTACTGGGAACAGCCCTTGCCAGTTACGGGCTTAGGGTTCATGTGCATGTGCTGTCCTGCTGAAGGGAGTGTGCTTATGTGCCCATCAGGAACTCTGATCAGTCACAAATGTAGCCAGAGATTTGGTGGCTTCCTGCAGCGCTCTCTCCCTGCACAGTTCAAGGCTCCGAGGAGTGGCGGCTGCTGTGGAGGGGAGCGTTTTTATTCAGGAAGCAGAAATACCTGACAGGGGTTCTTTGTTTCCGATTACAGCTCTAAGGAGAACTGAGCCACCGTCCCTGCCATGGTGATTGAAAACAATCTAAAATAAAAATTAGACAAAGTAGCAAATACATGTCAGTGCAGGAAGTCTTTTTATTGTGACAGAACACAAAAAAATGTTCCAAGAAGTTCATATCTAACACTCGGTATTATTTGAAGCAATACTCAGGCATGGAAAATTGAGGACTTTCAGGCCTCTCCAATTGTACCCATTGCTTATTCACGCCTCGATACAATGTGTTTCATTGTGAGTAAGAAAATAGGGAAGACGGTTGACGTGAGACCTTCACATCCGTCTCAGATTAAACACTGAGCACTGCCTCGTGCCACTGGTGATCTGGGCTCTCAAACGAGCTTTCCAACTCCTGCCAGCAGGTTCACCGTGTACAGCTTCCAGAATATTCTTGAAGGCTACCTTGCAGCCTTGTCAGAGATGCACGAGAAAGGCTGGCTTTGAGGACTTGCTGGTATTATTTTTCACAGACAGTAATTGGTCCCAGAGAGGGCACAGGGCCCCTTCTTTGTCATCGTCGACCCGGTGGCCCAGAGTTACTTCATGGTGACTGTGAATTCGTTCTGCTGTGGCCTGCCACCCAGTTCAGACCCTACCATGCCGAAGCTGCTGCTATGGCCATTTGTTGACTTAAACAAAATCCCGGGTGACACTAACTTGCCTGGCCCCAAACCGGAAGACAGAAGCACAGGACTTAATGCCCGCAGAAGCTGGCGCTGGCGCTGTCTGCCACCCGCCAGGTAGATTGCAGAGGCACCACAGAGGCTCGGTTTTCTATAAGATGAAACCATGAAGTCTCTAAGCCCCACCTTGCTCACGTATCGGTCTGTTTCTGTCTCTAAGGAAATATTGATGCAGACCTTGCAGAGATGGTTCTGCAGACTGTGTGAGGAGGAAGCAGAGAGGACAGGGAAGCAGTGGGCGCTCCTCCTGAGGGACCTTACCCTCCCCTCATGTTTCCCCTTCCTTTTGCTTTCCACCTTTTCATCTTTTTCTCCTTCCTCTCTTGTCCCACACTCCTTAGCACAGGACAAGATCATCGCCGTGGACTGCTTGGTGTTGCTTCATATCAGCCAAAATTGCTCACATTGCAAACACCAGTACTAGGCAGATAGCTTGCCGTGACTACACACACACACACACACACACACACACACACACACATTCTTTTTTCCATAAGGCATGTCAGAAATATTTTCCACGACTGTGGATTCTTCAGGTCACTTTGGTAAAGTTTCCAGGTTTCAGGCAAAGTCAGTAGAAGACTGTGAAGATAAAATAAATGAAAGGAAGAGACAAATACCACACAGAACATTCTAGAACTTCTGGGGGAAGAACTGTCTTTGAATGCAACAGAAAGGAAGAGGGCGGGGGAGAGAGGGAAGGGAGGGGAGAAAGAGGAAATTACTGAAATCTGACGTGCCTGTTCAATTTAACAAGGATTGTTCCTTGTTAACAGACAGATGATCGATATTTAGTAATTATTACTCAGATGTAAGGGAAATGGCATTTATCAGTATTCTAGAACGAGCTCTTGCTGTGCATGGGAAGTGTGGCTAGTGTTTTATTGCAGGAAGCAGAACTCTTTTCTCCTGTTTCATACGAAACAAGGCTGAGACACTGCTTGCCTCGGAGCTGGTCCCCCAGCACAGAGCATAACGGCTCCCC